AATATCACCTTTCCATGTAGGAATGTAAATAGTTCAACTTTAATACATCTCTTATGATTTCTCTTTCCTCTTTACTTTTCACGCTTCTCTTTAGTCTTGTATTTGAAAGCCAAATTTTCTATTTAGATCTGATCTTTTCATCAGGAATGCTTGAAAGTCCTCTATTTCACTGAATGTCCATATTTTTCCACTGAAGAATTATACTCAGTTTTGCTGGGTAAGCGATTCTTACTTTTAATCCTAGCTGCTTTGACCTCTGGATTATCATATTTCCTTAATGCAGAAGCTAGTAAATCTTGTGTTATCCTAACTGTGTCCACCATACTCATATTGTTTCTTTCTGACTGCTTGCAATATTTTCTCCTTGACCTGGGAACTCTGGAATTCGGCTATATTTCCCAGGAGTTTTTCTTTTGGGATCTCTTTCAGGTGGTGATTGATGGATTCTTTCAATTTCTATTTTACCCTCTAGTTCTAGAATACCAGAGCAGCTTTCTTTCCTAATTTCTTTTTAAAAAAAATTTAGTTTTCAATATTCACTTCAACATTCACTTCCATGAGATTTTGAATTCCAAATTTTCTCCCCATCTCTCCCCTCCCCCCCACTCCAAGACGGCACGCAATCTGAGATAGGCTCTACATATACATTCATATTGAACCTATTTTGTAAAGAAGAATTAGAAGCACTGTGAGAAACCATGAGAAAGAAGAAACAAAGAGAGAGACAGAGAGAGAGATCACATACTTTCATCTGCCTTCAGATTCCACAGTTCTTTTTCTGGATGTGGACAGAATTTTCCATCACGAGTCCTCTGGAGTTGTCTTACATCCTTGCGTTTGCTGAGAGGAGGTGAGTCTGTCAAAGTTAGTCATCACACATTGTGGCTCTTACTGTGTACAATGTTCTCCTAGGTCTGCCCATTTCACTCAGCATCGGTCCATACAAGTCTTTCCAGGTTTTTCTGAAATCCACTGGCTCATCATTTCTTATGGCACAATAGTATTCCATTACATCCATTTGCCACAACTTGTTCAGCCATTCCCCAACTGACAGGTAAACTATTCTTTGTCCTCTCAGTTTGCTTATAGTATAAGCCTTTATAACTAAATCACATACCCATTTCAATTTTATTTTGGTATATGGTGTAAGATGTTGTTCTATGCCTAGTTTCTGCCATACTATTTTCCAGTTTCCCCAGCAGTTTTTGTCAAATATTGAGCTACTATTCCTTGACAACTTCTTGAAAGATGATGTCTAGGCTCTTTTTTTTGATCAGGTAGTCCAATAATTTTTAAATTACATCTCCTGGATCTATTTTCCAGGTCAGTTGTTTTTCCAGTAAATATTTCACACTGTCTTCTTTTTTTATTCTTTTGGTTTTGTTTTATTGTTTCTTGATTTCTCATAAAATCATTAACTCCCATTTCCTCCATTCTAATTTTTAAGGAATTATTTTCTTTTAGACCACTTTTTCCATTTGGCCAATTCTGCTTTTTAAGGCACTCTTTTCACTGGCTTTTTGGACCTCTTTTGCCGTTTGGGTTAGTCTATTTTTTAAGGTGGTATTTTCTTCAGCATTTTGGGGGGTTTGCTTTAGCAAGCTGTTCATTTGTTTTTCATGATTTTGTTACATCATTCCCATTTGTCTTCCCAATTTTTCCTCTACTCTTACTTGCTCTTCAAAATCCTTTTTGAGCTCTTCCATGGCCTGAGATCAATTCTTATTTTTTTTGGAGGCTTTGGATGGACTTTTAGTTGTATGTTTTGATCTTCTTTGTCAAAGTAAGATTCTATAATCCGAGTAATGTTCTGCTGCTTGCTCATTTTCCCCACCAATTACTTGACTTTTAAACTCTTTGTTAAGGTAGGATTCTACTTCCAGCATAGAGGTTCAGGAGTTTTGTGCAACTGTTTTCAGAGATACTTCCAGGGACCTGTAAATTTTCAGTTGTTCCAAGGTGGTGTGATCAAAGGAGAAGTGTTTTCTCCTCTCCTGGCCTGGGCTCTGGTCTATGAGTGACCACAAGCACTCTCTTCTGCCTTGAAACTCTCTACCACTGCCACAAGCTCTGTCACGCAATGTTCCTCCTAGCCCTAGGACTACCACCCAGGACTACAATCCAACCCAAATCCCACCTCCAGCACCAGCAAAGAGATCCCTGCAATTTCCCTCTGATTAGCTGCTCTATCCCCCCACCGTCTGTGGGCCAAGAGCTCTGGAGACAGCCACCGCTGCCACCTCCACCACCACTCCACGGCTGAGGCTGGACCACACTCCTCTCTCACCCAGGTCCAACAGACCTTTCCTACTGACCTTCTAAGTTGTCTTTGGCATTTCTGGGTTGAAAAGTCTGGAAACTGCCACTGCTGCCAGTGATTCAGTCCCCTGAGGCCTGCTCTGGGCTAGCACGTTTTGCACTGGACTGCACTCCTCTCTCAGACTGGTGCAACAGACCTTTCTTGTAGACTTTCCAGGTTTGTCTTGGGCTGGAAATTTGTTTCACTCTGTCTTTTGTGGGTTTTGCTGCTCTAGAATTTGTGTAGAGCCATTTTTACAGGTACTTGGAGAGGTTTGGTGGAGAGCTCAAGCGAGTCCCTGCTTTTATTCCACCACCATCTTGGCTCTGCCCCTCTATTGTAATAATTTCTTACATGGTCTTCCTGCTTCCAGGCTTTCCCTTCTTCAATCCATTCTTCACATGGCTGCCAAAACAATCTCAACTCCAACCTTGCATTTAAGGCCTTCTAAAATTGGGCCCCAACCTACTTTTATTCACTTATTTCACATTATTCTCCTAGATGCATTTAACATTCCAGCAAAATGACCTACTAGGTACTGCCTGATTTCAATATTCCATCTCCCACCACCATGTCTTCCCACAGGCTGCCTTCATGCATGCTACGCACTAGATCCTCAGTTCCACCTTTTAGAATTCTTAGTTTCTGACAAAGGGGTTTGCGGGGATTAAAGGGGAAGGGAGATATTATATATACTGTTAAACTTAACTGAGCTATTTGGTGAGTTTTGCTCAACTGTCTCCTCTTTCTCTCTTTTTAATTTTGTATTACAAGGGCTGGTAGTTCTCTGAGGAGGAAGGAGAGAAGATAAATCTTTGGGAATGAAAATGATACAATGCAAAAGTTAACAATTTTTTTTCTTTAAAAAGAATTCTTAAGTTTCCCTTCAAGGGTCAATTATGATGCTAACTCCTATGCAAAGTCTTCCCTGATCCTCCAATTTGTTGCTGTTCTCTTCCTCCTCAAATAAGCTTGTATTTATCTGAGTACTGTGTATTCCAATAGAAAGTAAGCCCCTTGAGGGCAGAAATAATTTCATTTTTGTCTTCACCCCATGCCTAGTACAATGTCTGGCACATAACAGGAACTTAAACATCTTTGTTGAATTAAAGCAGCTCTCAGTTTCTCTCATATACAAAAGTTCTGAAGAAGCTAGACTAGATGATTTTCAAGTTGTCTCCTCAATTAGGTTATAAACTTACTTAAAGGCACTATGTATTACACTTTTATATTCCCCATAGTTCCTAGCTATACGCACACAGTAGGAATTTAATAAAGAACTGTATAATGGAAATGAATTAATTAGAGAAAATGCTCCTACTGCCACAGGAAAGATGAAAACAAATGGTGAATCTGTAGACAGCAGGCATACATTCAATCTCATTTGCAAGATAAATGGTATATTCTGAACAAAAGGACAGTTTGCTAATAATGTAGTAACACTCTGGCTTGGAGATAGCCCTACATCATGAGCTGCCTTTGCATTAGGACCTACTGAGCCAGTAGCTAATTCCTTCCCTGTTCCCTCACTTCAAGCTGGCCAAGTAATTCCATTTACCTACACTTACCCTTACAATAGGAACATTTTGGAACTGGATAGTACCCTAATGAGAATCATTTTTTTAAAAAGGCCCCCCAATAAAGAGAATGCATGTTTCCTTGTTCATCTAAAAACCTTTAGCTCTTTCAGTTATCTTGTTCCCTACCTATGACATGAACTTTTTTTGGGTTAGGCAATGGAGTTAAGTGACTTGTCCAGGGTCACACAGCTAGTAAGAGTTGTCTGAGGCAGGATTTGAACTCAGGTCCTCCTGAATCCAGGGCCAGTGCTCTCTCCACTGCACCACCTAGCCGCCACGACCTAGAACTTTGGATCATGCCTTCCATGTTCTCCAAAATTTGTGTTCTCAGGTTTTTGTCTGCCTTATGTCTTGCCCAATGCTTCACCTGAACCCTTGCTATCCATACATGATCTGATCAGCCTTCCTACCTAGTTCTGATATTTGACACTCAGCCACAACCCTATTCTAGACTCCTCTCTTATTTCAAGACCTCTGACTCTACCTTCAACACCGGCTTCCAGTACTTACCCCAAATCCAACTCACCCCCATGCCAAACTTCTATTCTGGATGCAACCTTACTTACCAACTCTTTTAGTTCCAACACTTATCCTGGACCTGTGACCTGCTGCAACTTACTGGAGATCTAGCATTCGTTTTTCATTTTACAGGGGGTGGGGTGAAAGAGAATGCTATATCAAAATCAAAGATTAATTTAAGTCCTTTGAAGATCTCTATTACGGTGGCCAACAAAAAATGTTCAGAGGGACAACAAAAAAGGAATTCAAAAGATAATTAGGGAAAAAATAAAAACAACCTATTTTAAAGATTTCCTTTCCTTTAATATAGATCTTTTAATTTATTTTACATCTTAAATATTAATGTACTTCATTAATTATGATTTCTCCCCTTGCGACCCAAATTATATAGACTTAGAGGAGACTTTTTGTTTTATAATCTTTACATCTATTCTACCATTTCAAAACAATTAGAAAACATGAAGCACTTATGTAGATGTTTGATTTGAAGATCATACTTTGGATAAAAAACAAAAAACAAAAAAATATTCCAAAATTAGGAAAAATAAACAAAGAGTAATATACACACTAATTAAAGAAACAATAACATTGCCATTAGTTACCTGGATATGGATACTGGTATGGTATCGCGTAAGCCTGCCCGTTAGCAGCATAAATAACTTGAGTCCCTGGAGGGTATGCACCATTATATTGACTGTAGCTAAATACCTGTTTCAATGGAACATTAGGCATATGTTAAAATTTATAATATGTTTTCTGAAACTCAAGAAAACGTATTAAAATTTCCTCTCCTAGGTTGTACTTACCAAAATTTTAACAGTTAATATAAATGTAAACAAATGAAATGGCATATAGGCATTATCCTTACTAAAGAAAAAACTTTATTAAAAAACTAAACAAAATGGTTAAGTTGAATGGTGAGTATATGTATCACAAAGAAACTCTTTTTCTTACAAAATCACTCATGGTATTTTGCCATGCATAAATCAAAGATTAAAAACATAATTCCAAACTAAATTTTTTACCCTAAAATTTGAAAGGCAGCATCATATAAAGGAAAGAACATTGGAACTGGTATACAGAACTCAGGTTCTAGTGCTGGCCCTACTAACTAGCTACATGACCTTGAACAACTCATTTGTTATATATATCCTGGCCTTAGTTTCTTCATCTATAAAGGGAGTGGTTTGGAATGGATGATTTCTTAAGTCACTTCTAATTCTTAAATCAGCCAATAAACATTTATTAAGCACCTATTATGCCCCAAGAACTACGTTAGATTTATCAGCAATTGAGCACCTAGACTTGAGGCCTAGCCATAAACCTAGCTGAATAACCACATGTCCAAGTTACCACCTCTCTAAGTCTCCATTTCTTCATCTATAAAACTGAGTTACTATCATTTGCAACATTTACCTCACAAGGTTAGTGTGACATAAGTGCTTTGCAAACTACAATGCACTATATTAGCAACTATTATTCTCAGTATATTATCTTTGCTTAACTGTTACTAAATCAGTTTCTCATGAACCAACAGCAATGCCAAGAGGACAATAACTATCTATGTCTAAATTGACAAAGCAGCAGACTGGCCTCCTGCCTAAAAAGGCTGTAGCTGCTGAAAACAGCAGTACACGAGCTGTGACATATGTAAGAACTATAGGTTAAAATCATTTTTAAGCCTATCTACACACCACACTGACTTATAACTCAATATATATTTATACGCAGACATAGACGATACTGAAGTTACTTGAATTTATAAGGTGCCCAGACCTTTTAAAATGTCTCCTTAAAAACTCCAATTTGTGGAGCAGCTAGGTGGTGCAGTGGATCGAGCACTGACTCTGAAGTCAGGAGGACCTGAGTTCAAATCCAGCCTCAGACCAAACACTTGATACTTACTAGCTGTGTGACCCCAGGCAAGTTACTTAACCCCAACTGCCTAAAAATTTTTTTTTATTTTTTTTAAATTCCAATTTGTACACAAGATTGATTTCATACATCCCCCTTCATGCACTCTATGTTCTAGCCCATCTAGCCAACTTGATATTGGCCATATGTAATTTTCCATCTCCACTGTCTTTAGACAGACTGTCCTACAAACCTGTTATGTCCTTTCTGCTAATCTACACCTCTTGGAATCCTTGGCTATCTTCAAGGCTCAGCTCAAGTGCTAGCTTCTCCCAAATCCATTCATGATTCCTCTGGTTATTAGTGCTCCCTCAAATTATTTTTTTTATTTTGTATATATTTTTGTATTTATTTAGCACAGTGCCTGGCACTTAGTCGGCAAAAATAAATGCTTACTGGATTAAACTATACTATCAGCTTTATGATGGCAGTCAGTGTGTTACATTGCCCTTCACAGAATACCACGCAAAACTTTAGAAAATCCATGATTTTATCCACCTGAGTGATCCTTCTATTGACAAATATTGTAACAACTCCATACTTCAATAAACAGTTTCAAGAGTAAGTGTGGTCAAAAGGAAAGAAAAAAAAAAGCAACCAGCTAGGCAGCCTTCCAGTGCACAAAGCAGGCGCTTTTATGTTCACTGAATATGAATGATTCAGTTATTCAAGTGGGAAAGTCTTGGAATGTAATCCCAAGTTCTCTGATGGTGCATTCAAGGTGAAAAAAGGACTGAAACAAGACACTAAAATCCTTCACCATTAGGATTCTACTTATTCCCTCATACTTCCTTCCATACCTCAGGAGATGGTGTGGCATAAGCTGTGTAAGGAGGAGGAGATGAAGCAACAGCAGTCTCATCATACATGACTTCTGAGCCAACATAAGCCTACATAAGAGGAAAGAAAGGAAGAAAAAAGATCATTTCGAGAGTAAGAAAAACTGGTCCAAAGTATACTGCACACATACTTTATAATCATAGACATATAAAATGAAAATCACAAGCTCACTCATAAATGGGAAATGTAAACATGCTCAATGAAATATGCAGAAGGGAAAAACAAAAAGTATCAAACCTGTGGTATGAAAGACACTGACTAGTAATGTCTGTAAGTCTTTACGGTTATCATTTACAATAGCATAATGTTCATGTGAATAAAGACTAAGGCCAAACACCTTCAAAAAAAACTACCAAAAAATGAAAAGTTTGTAAAGCTATTTAAAGCCTTTTATGAAGTCATACTAATACATTTTTTGCTGTTAAAACAAACGTAAGAAGTCATTTGCCAGTGAAAAAAGCTGGAATCTGAAAGAGAAAAGCTTAACACTCCTTAGCACTCTATTCCTGAAACTTTAAAGGGATACAGACACTGTAGTTTGTTGTAGCAACATATTTCTTTAAGTATAACTGTGTTTAACTGCTCCCTAGCCTAAAAAAAAAATACACGCACTTCTCCCTTTCTTAATTATATATATGCATGTGTATATGTGCATGTACACATGTATATATGTATGTGTACATACATATATACATATGTATATGTGCGTGTACACATGTATGTATGTGTGTGCATCCATATATGCATGTGTGTGCATGTACACATGTATATATGTATGTGTACATACATATATACATACACACACAAATACAAACTACATAAAGATGAACCACAGTAGACTCCTGGCACTCAGTATAGAAAAAAAAACAATGCTGGGGGCAGCTAGTGGATAGAGCACCGGCCCTGAAGTCAGGAGGACCTGAGTTCAAATCCGGCCTCAGACTCGCACTAGCTGTGTGACCTTGGGCAAGTCACTTAACCCTGATTGCCTCACTAAAAAAAAAAAAACAACACTAATCCAATCCAAAATTGGGTTTAACATCAAAAAGGCATGAGCTATACTGCTTGCAAGCTTACAAAAGTCAGATAAAAATTTTTTTTAATTTTCTTTACTTCAGTTTTCACAATGTTCATTGCCATGTGTGTATTTAATCTGTCTTTTCTTTTCCTTTCACAGACAGAATCTCATATTTTGTTTTACCTGACAAACCAAAAGCTTAACACGCTAAATGACTTAATTTTTAGGCAGTGACACTCAAGAATAATGATACCATTTGTTAAAGATAAATACAAAGGAGGGATTTTGCTATACTAATACTGACCTCTATAAAATTGGAAACATCTTATCAATTATATACTTCAAAGTCAAAGAATACCTAATCCATTTCAGAATTTCAAGATGTACACATGGAAACCTGAATATATGTTGCCTTACTGGCACTTTTTGTATTTCAAACCAAAACACAGTGTAATCCAATGGGCTACTTACTACACCTTATAATATCTTATAACCAAGAGCATGCCTATCAGAGGGTGGTAAGCTGGACCAAGCTGCCTGCTTAGCCAGTTTAGTTAGCAGCACCAAGGGTCTCCCCGCAACGTAATCTACTTCCAGTGTTTCCATCTGCCTATCCATGCAACCAAGTGAGGTAATATGAGAGATACAATGTAAGTACCCCATACTACCATTTCCATTTCCCTTGTCCCAACTTCCCCACCTCAGTCCAGTAAGGCCATGTAATCGGCCTTGTATAAATAATGACAGTGTTTGTCTGACCCTAAAAAGGTTGACGTATATACCAAATCTGAAAACTTACTGTATTAGTCCTGGCATCCTGGAGTGCAAATTTCCAGGCCCTGGGAGGGAAAAAGGTAGTTTTACTTAAGGGTAAGTCATCCTTCTTATATTATTCAAAGGGCCGCATAACAATTAAAACCTCTTATAGGTGTCACTTTACAGATTTAACTACATAGTTGGCAGTACTTCATACTAGAAAGCCACTCAACAGAGAAATAGGAGGGAAAGGGGAGAAGGGAGAATTATTAGGAAGATAGAATAAGGGAGAGATTAGTTGTAGGAAAATAAACTCTAACGACGTACTAAAATATTTATAGCTCTTTTTAAAGTAGCAAAGAATGGGAATCTGAGACAACAAAAAATGATGAAGCAGATGGTTTCAGAGAAACCCGGAAAGACTTATATGAACTGATACAGACCAAAATAAATAGAACCAGAAGAACAATTTATACAATGACAACAATTTTGAAAGATAAAGAACTGTCAAAGACTTAGGAACTCTGTTCTGCATAATAATCAATCATGAGTCTAACAGAATAATTCTGAAACCTACTAACACTTCCTCGCAGAAAAGCAAGGCTTAGGAGTGAAGAATTATTGATAGACTGATAAACATATATTTGCATATGGCCAAAGTGGAAACTTCTTTTGTTTTGACTATCCATATTTGTAACAGGAGTTTTTTCTTTCTTTCTCAATTTGAGAAGGTGGAAGTAGAGGAGTGGAAGATGAGAAGATAGATTTTTGCTGATTAAAAAAGTAAAATTTAATGTACAGGATATGGCACGAGTGGGATGCAAATTTAAGCTTGACATAAGGAAAATCTTTAGAAATATTCAAAATGGAACGGACTCCTCTGGGTGGTAATTACCCCCATCCCTGAAGGCCTATAAGCAATAGCGGAATTGGATGACCACTTGTCAGGTAAGATATAGAGAGAGAATTCCTCTTCAGGTACGAGTTAGACTGGATGGTCTCAAAGTTCCCTCATACCTCCAGGATATTGTGAGTCTCTGAATGTGCGCTCAAACTCTCTACCAGTCAGTTCACTTTACATATCATAGATACTCCTTATTTTCACCAGACATATTGCAAATAGGCGGTGCAAAGCACAGGCTCTGCTGACCATGCGTCAAGTGCCATTTTTAGAAGGAAGGCACATTTTTAAACTAGACATAATCATTCTATTCAACCGTGCTGTTTTAGTACATATTCCAGCATCATGACACTGAACTGTATAAATCACCTCTAAAGCCTGACAGCCAGGCAGTTTTTCCATCAGTTTCTCAAAGCAACACATAGATCAGAATGTGCCCTCAGAAATTCCATGTTTACACTATGATAACTAAAGACCTGAAATAATTGAAATTCAAAAGACACTTAAAGAAAAGTCAATAAGCACTGCAGAGCTTTTGTGTGTTGAGAGTGAAAGGATGTGCAATAAGGATACTCTGACATAAAATGATATATGAGATCTTGTGAAATTGCCATACCAAGGGCAAGAATATAATTTCAGAAACAATATAAATAACTTTACAATCTCAGATGCTGAATGGCATAAATACATTCAATTCTACTGTAGCCATAACCAAACTCTTAACAATGGAATAGATGAAATCTACCTATTATCCCTCAACTTCATCTTACTCAATTTCAATACTCCTATAATTACATAAATATATAAATAAAATACACACATTTAAGCTTTTCCTCTTTTTAGTCCCCCAGCCCATCTTCAAATGGTCAAAATGAACAGGGAAATGACCAAAGGAACAATAAAGCAACAAGCATTTACTAAGCACCTACTGCGTACCAGGAAGTGGAGCTATACAGACAAAATTGAAACAGTTTCTGTCTTCAAGGAACTTGCATTCAATTAGGGAAAATAACATAGTCAAATAATTAAATTTAAGATATGATGAACCAGAAGAATTTCTACTTTATTTAAAAAAAAAAAAGGATAGCACTGGGGATTTTGAGACCCAGTCAGAGCTATGCTTCAGTAATAGCACTTCATTGGAGAAGGATGGATTAGAGCTGGGAAAGACCTGAGGCGTTTAAAACAGTTCACTTAGAAGGCTTCAGCATTTGGCCAGTGATGAAGGTATGAAGTAGGGCTATAGCTATGTGTGAGGGAAGAGGTAAACACATATGAGAGATGTTGTGAAAACAGAACTGAAAAGACTTAATAAGTGACTGAATATGAGGATGAAAGAAAATGAAAAATCAAGGATGACTCTCAAGGTTGCAAATCGCAGTAACTGGAAGAATAGTACTGCCCTCAATCAGAGAAAGGAAGATGAGAAGAAAAGGACTACATAATATAAATGATAATACTCTTTTCTTTTCAAAAAGATCACAGGGTTTCCACTGTTTTTTTTCCCTTTAAAAAGAGAAATATGCAAATAACAAAAAAAATTCTCGGAATTTAAGAACACATTTAATTCTGCCAGCTAACCAATTTGGATTCAAGATAAGATGTTCACCAAACTGAAAAAAAAAGCATGCAACTGTACAGTTAAGTGAAGTCATTCTCATTACAAAGCAACACTACCAAGAAAGCCCAGGAGAATCAGAAAACAGAATCACAGTAATTAGAGATGGAAAAGACCTATTAAAGTTTCCCTCATCCATCCTCCTAGAGTCATTTATTTTACAGCCTGAAGGGAAACTCTCCTCCCACTTTTCCCAACTCCACCCCCTCAACAACATAAAAGTTTAATTGGAAATCATGTCAGAAAATATTCTTTCAAATCAGACATACAAAAGAGAACAACACTTACAAGCAATCATCTTCACTTTCTGCACAAAGATTGATAGTTTTCCCATCTCGGCAAACAATCTGAAGTAGGCGGTCTTTTGGCTTGCCCTCAGGAGGATGAAAATCTATGGGGAAAAATTAGAAGGGGTTTAGAAGAGTGAGAGTATTTTAAGTAATACAAAAAAATATGTGTTACAAAACACCAAGTCACATATTAAACACATCCTCTCAAATCAGAGAACAAGCCTGAATAAAACAAGTGGTGTGTTTTCTAAAAGATTTAAGGCAAAAATGAGATCAAAGAAAAGTTCCTTTTTCAGTCTACATAAGCAAATAAGGAGACTCCTTCAACAAGGGCACCACCAAGAGGCAACTGCTCACCCAGTACATAAATCAATAGAGATAATGGCCCATGCAAAAAAAAGAAAAAAAAGAAAAAAAACCTCAATGACAAAGTTGCCATCAACTGTACGCTAATGAGAAAAATGACACTGTGTTTACACTGAAAGCAACCAGTGGTTAAAAATGTAGTTAAGCACTAAAATATAGGTAAAGTGAACAAGTCTTTTCTCTTTCCATAATCAAACACACAAAAATTACAATTTTATTTTCATTCACCTTCCTCCAGGGAAATAAAATTGGTGATTTAAATACTTTTTCTAAAGAATGCTATTTCCATACAAGGGGATATGTAGAACACACAATGGCTGCCCGTATCCAAATTCAATGTAATATATTATAGAAAATGAGCTAAATGAGTTTTATTTAGCAGCAAGTATGAAAAAGGGATAAACTGCTTTAATGGGAATGAGAATCCAGACTTCATAAAATACAGCAGAAATAAAACCTGCATTCAAATTCCATCTCTGACAATACCTACATGACTTAGGGCGCTTAAGTTCCCTGCGCCTACTCCATTATCTCTCAAATAAGAGAACTGGACTAGGATTCAGAGGTTGGGAACCTATAGCCTTCTTCATCCTTAGGTGCAGCTTTTTAACTGAGTCTAAGTTTTACAAAACAGATCCTTTTATTAAGGGCAGCAGGTTCCCCATCCCTGGACAAGGGATAGGTCTGAGGTTCCTTCCAATTGAAGATATCTGATCCTACAAACATTCTTGTTTATCATAAAATACAAGCAAATCAGATTTTAGCAGGATTTTTCTGTGGGTTCAAACACCTACAACCCAAATATGGGTGGTACAGGACAGAATGGCAAACTGACATAAATACTAATACTGGAACTTCAATCTAGGGTGTGGGGTAGAAGAACGCAACTAGCCAAATAAATTATCTTCAAGGTCTGAAATTCTATGACTCTATCTAAACTCTTGTATAGTGTAGTATAAAGAACACTGATTTGGGTGTCAGGAAACCCAGGTTCAAGGCCTACCTCTAACACACAGAGCTGTGTGACCATGAACAGATCATTTCTCCTTGCTCAGCTTCAGCTTCTCATCTGTGAAATAAGGCTAATATCTCTTGTACTACCTACTTCCCTGAAGGTCACACCTCAGTCACCATGTTTTAATGTGAACTAATAAGTACCTTGTTATGTACTAGGCCTGAGGTGGGAAACCTGTGGCCCTCTAGGTTCTCAAGTGAGGCCCTCTGACTGAATCCAAACTTCACAGAACAAATCTCCTTAATAAAACGATTTGTTCTGTAAAAGTTGGGACTCAGTCAAAAGGCTGCACCCAAGGATCCAGAAGGCCATGTGTGGCCTTCAGACAGGTTAAGCAGTCACAGAAGCTGCCTTCTGCCTTTTTGGGGTTTGTAATAATTTTTCCATAAGGGTTCCAAATACTTAATTTCCTCAGCTCGTATTTTGTAAGACAGGGCCAGATGTTATAGACCCTTTTTCCATAAGAGAAACTACATACAGCACTTTGTAAAGCTTAAAGCACTATATAAATGATAAACATTATCATTATTCATAATGGCTCATTAGCTATTAACAAGAAATGTAAGGGTGAAATATAAAGTTTTAAAATTCCAAAATAATTTATTTTAAACTACCTTAGGAAGAAGTTAAAACAAGTAGGTATTATTTTTATATCTCATAATGGTTAACTATTACAAACTGGGTAAAACATAAAACTAAACTTTGAATACATTACATACTAACTGACGTATACCTTTTCATTATTATAAGGTTTGGGGAGTAGGGACCTTTCACAGATTCAAACATATAAATGTATCTGGCAGAAATGCAACTTGTACCATACACTGCCCATTGATAAGCTCCCATCACATGCAATCCCAAGATTAAATATCAGGACGTCTAATAGGACTTACATGAGTTTTATTTCAATCCATTAAATGAAGTACAAAATGTTAAAAGTAAATACAGAAATGTCTCCTAGACTAATTAAGCAAAGGAAATGGAAGAAAAGGACTTTAGCAGCAAAATTCTATTACCTCGACATTCATTTCCCATTCGGATGTTGATGCAGTCCACCAGCATGTGAATCTTATCTTCTACATTCTGCCTAGTCTGGTCATCATAATAGATTAGGTGGCCATCTGACCACAGATCAAACCAGTTTTTTTTCCACCGCTTCAAAATTGTGCCTGGATAAAACAGGAAGATGTTGCTTTGAATCAAAATAACACACCAGCTTGTTCTCTAATTTAACAATACTGTAATATAAACAAAAGAAATATCCCATTTGGCTCTTTAGGTAAGACTACTAAGGAACTTTCAGTAGGCAATCAAAAAATAAAATAAAATAGGGTACAGTAAAATAAAACTTTCCAGTTATGACAATGTCCACTAAGCTATCTTACACATAATACACCAAAGCATGGTTCAATCACTACAGAATCAAAAAGCAAAGAATATTAAATGTTGATTTGAGCTAAAGAAACCTCTCTCCCATTCATTTCCCTATACTCAACAACCATGGAATATGCTGGCATAGCTCCCTTAAAAGATTAAACTTTAGGTTTCTTAGTACTAAAGAGATCTCTTATATGTCCCAAAAACAGCACTTCCCCTCCCCTCTTTTTCAAAACTTTTTCACATACTTGCTGACTGCCTGATAGATACATCTTGAACATGGGGAGCAGCATTCAACCTGGAACCAGAAGACCTGGATTCAAGTTGTAGCTGGTGAGCTCTGTGACTGTGAGCAGGTAACTTCAAATGTGCTGTGTCCTCATTTGTGTGAAGTCTGCAATGACTTCTCTTGCCTCTGTCACAAGGGTGCTCAGAGGAGAATCCTCAGAAAACCTAAATACCCTACATAAATTGTCTATTATTCCTAACTATTACGATATATAACAGGCCTTGGCCTCAGGCTTAAAGGAAAGAAGCATGGGATTGTCTGATTATGTGATTTAGTGTTTGAAGGAATCTTAGAGTTCAACTAATCTAACCCTCTCATTTTACAGAAAAGAGAATGATGTTAGAAAGTCAGATATTAAAAAGGGGGGAGAAAAGTAAGGTGTTCTTTTCACCACAAAACAAAGTAGTGGAAAATATTCATAAGGGAATTGCTGTTTCCTAGAGTAATAAGAATGCAGATATCAGAAAGAGAGAGGAGAAGGAGGGGGAAGAATTTAGAACTCAAAATCTTATTAAAAAGTGAATGTTGTTGGGGAATGGCTGAACAAGTTGTGGCATATGAATGTAATGGAATACTACTGTGCTATAAGAAATGATGAGCAAGCGGATTTCAGAAAACCCTGGAAAGACTTGTATGGTCTGATGCTGAGTGAAGTGAGCAGAACCAAGAGAATGTTACGTGATGACTAATGCTGACAGACTTAGCCCTTCTCAGCAATGCAAGGATCTAAGACACCTCCAAAAATCTCATGATGGAAAATGCTGTCCACATCCAAAGAATGAACTATGGAGTTTGAATGCAGATCGAAGCGTACTATTTGCTATTTTTTTCTTCTGTTTTGTTTTCTTTTCTCTTTCTTGTGGTTCCTCCTATTGGTTCTAATTCTTCCTTACAACATCACTAATGTGAAAATATGTTTAATAGGAATGTATATATAGAGCCTATACCAGATTGCACACCATCTTGAGGAAGGTGGAGAAGGAGGGTGAAAAAAATTTTAAACTCAAAAGCTTATGGAAGTGACTTGATAAAATAAATTAATTTATAAAAGATCTTTTGTGGACAAGAAAAAGTGAATGTTGAAAACTAAAAGTTAATTAATTTAAATTTTAAAAAAAGAATGCAGCTATCCTAAGAGTTGTATCCTATACTTTGTTCAAAGCATCACAGAGCTGGAAAAGATCTTAAACAAGCATTATCTGGTCTAGTGCCATTTTCAAGTAACCTATGCTAATCCAGTCTCTTCTGAGTTAATACTTTGGCTGAATTCAGAAGTTGACATGTTTTAAAAGGTAAATTTATATCTCTGAATAACAGCATTGGTTATTACATGTAGTCTCATGGGTGGATGTAATAAATATTTCTTAAGTACGTTCTGTGTGTTAGGCACTGTGCTAAAACACTGGGGATACTAATTCTTAAAAAGACAGTCTGTACCTTCAAGGAGCTCAAAATCTAATAGAGGAAAACAACATACAAAAGGAAAGCTGAAAGCTCTCCCTCCTTCACTGCCCCACCCCAGCCCCATTATATCATGATGTTGCCGAAGATGATGAACTCTAAACAAAGCAGAACAGCTCACAGCAAATGAATAGACTCACAAATAACAAGGCAATCTCCAACCTCTTAACCCTAGAAATGTGGCTAGGCAGTTTACGGGTAGGGAGGGCATTTTACTTAGGACTCCTGGCTAAGAAATAAGTAGCCAAAACATGAAAGATAAAACTAATACTGTCTTTCAATCCCATTTAAGTGAGAAATCAGATTTGTTCAATTAAGATTCTCTGGGGGCTATGATTTAGAAAAGAACAGAGGTTTAGTTTTAGATAAACTCACTGAAATCATTACTTAATTCAACAAACATAAGTGCCTACTATGTGCAAAGCACTCTGCTAAAGCTCCAGGGAAGATACCAGGTTTTAGATAAGATCTGGTCCCTGCCCTTGACAGAGTTTACAGATTAAGCCTTTGTCACAATGTCAGATACTTGGGCAGTTCAGAATCAGATTGTTTTCATCTCCACAAATAGTTTAAGCAATGCCCACATCCAAACTGGGCCAGTTCTTTACACAAGCTATGAACTAGCTTTCTGACGAGAGAGAATAAACATCACTCAAACTTATATGACCTGCCCATAATCAAAAGATGTTGGAACTAAAATTCAACCCAGATATATTTACTCCAAATTCAACGCTGGGTTGTTGTTGGCCCCCACCCCTACCGCCAGCCATTATAACATGAGCTCTGGGAGCTATGAAAATTCTTCCTAAAGGGAAATTAAGAACCTGTTTATAAAATTCCATGTTTACTTTTAAAAGTCTGTTTCATAACAGATCTATTCTAGAATTTATTAAGAAAGTATAAAAATAGATTAAACCCATCACTCACTTTGTCGAAGCAGCCAACCACTCTTGACAAATGCCATCCCTTCACCTTAGAGAGAAAAAATAGAAGGATTAGAAATAATGACTAAACATACCTTTGGTTTTAAACCAAAATCACAAACTAAAAGGGTTAGATTGAAAAAAAAACATTTTCAATTTAATTTAAAAAGCATGTATTTATTAAATACCTCCTACATGCTGCACATTGTGTTCCCTCCTTTCAAGTGCTAATTGAAATTAGGTCATAACCTAATAATTGTACTTACTAGTGATCAAATCTAACTACAATGGAACCCAGGAGAGACACCAGAGCTAGCTATATAATACTGGGAGTCATCTATGTAAAAGTAGCAATTAAACCCATGAGGGCTGATGAGGTAACCAACAGAACATGAGGTTCTACTATATTTCTATCATCATTAGTCACTAATTCTTAGACTTTACCAAGCAACAGGTGGTGGAAAGCTTGAGCAAAGGATTCCTGAACCAACAACTGATTAAAGTAGTCTTCTTCCTTTCTTTAATGTGTTTTTTCTCTTAAAATGCAACTAATCTATCTAGCTCAGTTACTAATCTAACTTATCCTCACCACTATGAGTGGGATTGAGACCACCTACCCGAAATAAAATTCAGAGGTTTCTCTAGGTAAAAACAGAAGTTTTATTTAGCAAGTCTCGCAAGAGAATTGGGCATCACCTACCCAGGGCAGACTGGAGCAGGGAGGCAAGATACAACAGCAAGCAACCAGTTATATACCCTTAGACAAACCACTCCAAGAAACTTCCCTCCCCACTTGTTTACCTCAATCTCTTTATCCTCATTGGCTGAGGCAAGAGACCTTACAATCTATATTTAGAACCCAAGAGACACATTTTACCCAAACCAAGCTTGGAGGCTAGGAGATTGCCTTATTTGATAAGGATAAGGCTGGGGGTGATGGTTACAAAACAAGGGAGGGAGTGGGCAGCTGGTGTATGACCCTATTATATGATTTACAGGAAAACGAAACTTAGGCCCGGCTAATGCTAAAGCCTTAACTAAATTCTGGGGGCATAGCTTCCATTTCATATGAGAAATTTTCACTTGTCCCACACAACTATGACACAAAAGTAGCAAGCAACCCATTTTTCGAGGGTACTGAAGCACACGGCTTAAAGGGTCTGCTTAGTAATTCAAGCATAAAGGTAAGGGTGGATCCAGAAAGGAAGTCTGGTGCCTGAATCCCCAACCCAGCTGTTCATACATTAGATAACACCCGTTTTCTGAAAGATTCCTATTTTTCCAGGATCCAGATACATGACTCCCAAATATATATACACTTAACAGCACCCAATTAAAGTCCTATCTTATAACTGCTTGGGCTCTAGCTGACAAAAACAATCACTTCAGAACAAAAACTGCCACTTCATTCCTGGTGGTAGTATTTTAACAACTGACTGGAAAGATGCCAGCTTCATTCTATATCAGTACCATGCAAATAGTCAAATGTTTTCAAACTGACAGAAATGCAAATTCAATGTGGCGTTGGGAAAATTAAAGTTATACTCTCTGTGCCTTGTGGCTTAGCCACTAAAGGTTTTTAAATTAACTTTAACCAACAGTTTTGTTGATGATGTACATTTTAACAGGTGGACTGTCTGTTTAACCATCGGTTGGTTTTCCTACAATTGAAGTTTCATAGACATAGAGATTAGAAAACATTTATTAGGTACCACTAAAATTGGGTAATATCAGCAGTATCTATGCTAGATCTACATTATATCACACAATAAAATGACAGATAATTTAGAATTTTTCCAGGAGAGTTACAAAATCAATACCCTATTCATAGTAAACTCCAAAGGTCAATTTATAAATATAAATATTTCTTTTCACATGTCTCAGGTAGTCGTTATAGTCCAACCTGAAAAACAGGGAACAGACTAATTTTCTCAAGTTCCCCTTTAGCCCTATTAAAATGTTACTTCCAATTCATTCCTCTTTACCCTCCTATCGGTGGAAATAAGATCATGAGATAGAAAATAAAGAAAACAGAAGGATGGATAGATTCCTTTTACACCAAATTTTATAGAACCTACAAATAAGCATTTTGCCAGCTCATTTTCCAAAGATTCTTTTCTCCTGTTCTGTTTGGGATTATGATCTTGTTAACTTAAACAATTTCTGTTTTCTGTGTCACAGTGGTAACACTACTATATCTCTTTCTTTTAAATGTTATTACTTGACCAGCAACTATTGTAATAGCTGTAACTCATAAAACTAAAAAGAAAGCATAAAAAATAAACTAATGTCAGTAGAGCAATGTGTCTTACCGCAATTCAGGCTCCAAAGTGCAGTATGATCAAATGTGGTATTATGAAAAATGACTTCTTTTGCTTGAGGCTAGAACAAACTTAATAGCATGGTGCAGAAGAAGCTCAAGAATAATGAGGGGCTGACTCAAGCTCAACACTGGCTTACTGAATACCAAATACCACTGGAAGATGTCCTTAAAATAGGCTCCCTCAGGACCAGAAGGCGTAACTTCTACATTCAGAATAGAAATACTTTTCTGCCTCAGAGTCCAAAGGAAAATTGTTTCAGCAGATTTTCAACACTGTATTTAATAACAACACTCTGCTATCCACTGTATTTTCCCAATTTCATATCCCCCAAATCAGCTCTAAAATCCTAAGCATTGCACTAAAAAATAAATGTAAAAATCTACATACCACAAATTGCATATGAAAATATGTCTATCTTCCCCTGAGCTAGAAGGCCTCTTCCATGCTAAAAATCTCATTTTTGGAAATGACTTCCTTTTCTCCTTTGGTTTATGACCAATTTTCTCTACAAAGTAGTAGTTATAGTATACAATTTAAAAACTGCCTTGAAACGTGCATATTATCTTGAAAACTTTGAGTTTATTATGGTAAAAGTAAAGCAATAATCTCAAGTGAAACTGGTTACACAGAAACACAAATTAGTTAAAAACCCTGGATTGTGTATTTATTTTGTAAAGCAAATAAGCATCACATAATGGTAACAGAAAAACATAAAATAATAGAACTCTCTAACTCGTATTTTATAGCTATCTTCTTCAGTAAGGAGAATGATCTTCAACCTGTAAAGGGTAGAACACAAATACATAAAGAACATTAAAGCCTAAGGTTAGTGAGAAATAAAATTAATGAAGTATATGTTAATGAGGTCTTATTAGTTAATCCTGGTTCCATATACTGCCGCTGCCACCCCCCCCCGCAAAAAAAAAAAAAGCCTTTCCCTTCTTAATTACCTGTTGTTTTTTTTCTTACTGACCCAGGTATGAGTTTGCAACTTGATAATCGGCCAGCCTACTCTTATCTGTCTTGGACATTAAATTCTAGATTTCTTTTCAACAGATTCATTTCAACAAGGCTGTTGTTAGGTATATCTCTCAACTTTACTAAATCTGCTTCCCAAACCTCTTAGCTCCAGATGGCCAGTGGCCCCTGGATAAGAAAACAATTGTGAAAAACAATGTTTGGAAGGTTTTTTTAATTGTGGAGATGGCTAGAGATTTAACTTCCGGAGAGGAATTTGGGGAAGAGAAAAACTTCAGCAGAGGAAGAAAAAAAATGACCCCAGGAGAAAGAGAAGGATCCAGAGGGTAAAGAATAAAAATGAAGTTGGTAAGGTATGGGAAAGGAAATTAGGTCTGGCTGTCAAAATGCTAATAAGGCAAGATGGTACTAATCAGGTGAAAGTTCTATTGAGAATTGGCCAGAGAAATCATTAGCAAGAACAATAAAAGACAGGATAGTACTTCTGGAAGCCATGAACAATAAGGAAATACTTGCAGTGACCTACAAAGAGCAGAATGTTTGCCTTTCCATCTTAACCAAATCAATGTTATTTACAACAAAAGTATAGACTAATCTCCCTCCTAGAAAAGAAGGTAAAAGGGAGCTCAAAGAATGCCTCTCTACAATCCCAAATTACCCAGAAGAAGGAAGTGTCCTTTTAAGAAACAAAAGAAAGGTAAGTAACAGTTCTTGCCCAAAAAAGAAAAAGAAGGAATTGGCCACTCTGAAAAGGAAGCAACTACTTACTGTCCAATAAAGATGTGGATGCCAAGGTGATAGCAGGTCAACTAGAAAGAATCAAAAGAAAAAAAAAGTTCTGAGTGATGGTATAGTTAATGTTAAAGGATACTGAGATAGCTATTAGTAAACTGATAATAAATAGAGGGTTCTGCCACCTTTTCAAGTTACATCTCCCGAATATGATAACTAGATAACTACTACCAAGTTCTGGTGATCCACATGCATACAAATTATAAGAAGATCTCTAGAAAGCACTGAAAGCTTATGAAGGCTTGTGGAAAAAAAAAAACTGAAGACTTAAGAAGCACAGATGGCACTCTCATCACTGTTGCCAAGAGAAGGCAAGGTAGAATTAAAAAGTGAACAGCTAGCTGCTGAAGAAGCTGGTAAATGAAAATGAGATTGGCTTTCTGGATTAAAGCTTAAAATAAAGTACTGATAAGTTCCTGTCCAGCGCCCAGAAAGAAATGGTAAGAATACAGCTGCCCAGTCTTGCAAATTTAATTAAAAGGGCTTTAAGCTGAAAGGGAAGAGAAGGAATGAAAACTGCCAAAACTCGTATCCACCAGACCAGATAACACAGAGATACAGTGCTTTTAGATAAGGATATCGGTGCACACATAATATCTCTCACACATAATCTCTCTCTCTCTCTCTCTCTCTCTCTCTCTCTCTCTCTCTCTCTCTCATCCATAGAAGACAAAATCCAAAATAGGAGACAGCAATAAAACCCATGCCCTCTGAAATCTATACAAAAATGCCCAAAGTACAGGAATGACTGATTTGATCAGATGGGATGAGGATCAAAACTGGAATATGACCCTGGGAAGATATGTTATTCAAGAGAAACAAAATAGATAAAAGGGATAATGAAGTATGGTAAACACTGGAAGAAATAAAAATTATGCTGTCACTGAAGTAGTCAACAAACCACACTGAACCTGGCACCTTGGGGCTATGATCTACACTGTACCAGATTTTCACC